GACCCCCTCCCAGATGGCAGGTGGAAAAAGATCTCAGGGCTCGCCTGGACGACGCAACCTACCATCTAAGACAGGAGATAGGGTTGAGGCGAGCAGTGGAGCACATCAATGCCACCCACTACAGCAAGATGCAGGACTATCGACAAAGGTGGACGGAGGAGCATTACAGCACAGTCGAGCATGAAAAGGATATCAGGATGTTAAAAGAACAGCTGAAACACCTGAATCCATCCTTCAGTGTACCGGACATGAAATATTATTCCTGCAAAACAAAAGAGGAGCTCATAGGTGTGATTGAAGCTCAAAATAAAAAGCTCCAGGAGAGAGCCTCAGAGGGTCCAAAGTTGGATGAAACACTGAGAGCTGAAAACAACGCCGTGCAGGATCAGGCCTTCAGCAAAGAAATTACTACCGACCTGAAGCTGCAGGAAGAGACCAGCAGCAGCCTTGATCTAGCCTTAAAACTGAACGTTAAGGAGGAGACCATCAGATGTTGCAGAAGGAGGTGAAGGTGCTTCAAAAGCAGCTGGAGAGCTTAACAAGTCAGCTCCAAGCTAAAACAAGGCTCTGGGACGAGCTGATCCTCAGACTGAACGTTAAGGACGAGACAAATCAGGTGTTGCAGAAGGAGGTGAAGGTGCTCCAATTGCAGCTGGAGCAACAGACAGTTAAGTCTAACAGTGAGACCTCCCTCCAAAAGGAAAACCCCCAGGTAAACAGCACCAAGGTTAACAACACCCAGGTTAACAACACCCAGGTTAACAGCACCCAGGTAAACAGCACCCAGGTAAACAGCAAGGGTGACGCTCCAAATGTGGTCCAGACAACAGCTGAGACGGAGGAAATCTCTGTGTGGAGGAGGTTTAAAAAGAGCATCACTCCAGAACACCGTCGCAAATACAAGCATCTCAGGGGGCAGATGCAGGACCAGCAGTGACGATCTCAGCACCCACCAACCACCCCAACTCCAACCACCCCAACTCCACCCTCCCCAGCTCCCACAGGCTGTAACAGGCTGCAGGGCAGCACAGTGAAACATGTGAAGTCCTGACAAACAGAAGCCAGCAGGTTTCTTTCTGTCAGGACGTCACATGTTCCCACTGTGTCTGTGTGGGTTTTCTCCGGGCGCTCCGGTTTATCCCACCCAAATAAATTGGAAAAGAACTTAATTACAAATAATTTGGCAAATACTTCAATAAAAACTTAAAATTAATCATAAACCTTCTTTGTAGTTGGATTTCTGTAGAGTATTGTACAGTATACTGTGTTTGCTGAGTATCAACTGTGTAAGAGAACAAAGTCAAAGTGTTCATATGTATTGTTATTTTTAAGCTTATGCTCCATAAGGTAATTTAAGTGTTTTGAGGTCATCCAATGACACATACATATAAACAGGTGTTATCTTCTGTGTCAAATGTCATGAGGCCTTACATCATGATAGGAGGATATTTTCTCCTTAAGAACAGTCATTTACATTAATTGTGGTTACAGCTTGCTGCCTCTGAGAGGCTGAGGTCATGTCATCATGCAGTTTAACTTCTTATCAAATGTAGAGTTTATTTTAAATTAAGTTCTCCTGATGCAGATATAGGACACAGGCTGAATATATGCTGGTGGTAAGACTACTAAACATGTTACTAGATGCAATCTGACAAGAAGAACATTGAATTAGAGGTTTGACACAAAACTCTGAAAAAACGACAAAACAGGGTACTCAGTTCAAGAAATTGTGATATGGAGTGATAAGATATGGAGATGTTTCTGTCATGTCTCCTGACTTCAGGAGTCTTATTATGGGCTAACAAGTTCCTAATGAAATCAATCTTGACCTTCTCTAAATGTGTTTGCAGCAGGATCCCCTCAACCCTTTTTCTTTACCAAAGAGGCTTAAGAAATCAACTTAAAAATAAACAACAACAAAAAAAACTCTGGTAGATGGTATTTTTCTCACGCCACATCAGTTGATTTTCCTGGTTTCCAGGTTACAAACAAGACAGAGGCCCTGAGGAAAATGTGTAACAGCTAAAAGCACATACGCTATGTTGTTAATTTGCAATATTTTAGCTTGTAGTTAATTGGCTTTTTCTTACAGTATGTAACTTCCCTCGATTACTTTGGGATGAGGGGAAACAACAATCAAAGAATGAAAACTGGGAATGGAGAAAAAAGATGGGGAATTATTTATGAACAACTTAAAGAAGGTGCACAAATGAAATGAAAATGAGCTCCTTTCAAAAATCAACTAAAATAAAAAAAAAAAGACAAACCGTATATGATTGAAAAAGTGTTTGGTGTGATTCTTATAACTTATAAGATGAACGTATAAACTGTAAATAACACTGTAAAACTTGCAGCAGGCTCCAGGCTCTGTCCTCCTCTACTTTTCACTTCATCCTCAGTTCAAGAGACGTCAGTGGAGGAGAGGAAATCAGAGTCCTGAGTGAATGCATGAAGAAACCTGTGCAGTTTTACACTCTCACAGCCCGTACTCACTATGCACTAACACACACAAACATTAAAAATATACCTGAGTCACTGATTCTGACAAACACAATTTTAAAACGAGTTCAGAGACAAAAAATAAGTTTGCAACTCTTGTTATCAATAATTCATATTTCAAACAAACAACAATTTTAATATAAGGGGAGCTTAGCTCTGCAAAAGCCCTGAGAGGAAAGTGAGAAATCAAAATTCTGTTGATCAGTTTTCTGTGTCTGATCTTCATAGTTTTTCTCTGCAGTGTTTATGGCTTCAGAGCAGGTTTTTAAAAAAAGTGATCTTTATTAGTTCTTCAGTTGTTATTTCATCTTTGAATCAGGCAGAAAAGAAAGATACATATACACGTTTCTTTTCCTTTGATAATAATAAGTTGTGACACTCATTTTGTTAAAGGTCACATATTGTGCAAAATATACTTTACCATGTTTTTCTAACTCTAATATGTGTCTCTAGTCCGTCTAAAAACCCCCCAACGATGAGAAAAGTCCATCCTCTCTGTCTTTTGAATATATATCAATATAAGAAGCATCAGCCGAGATTTTAACTTGCTTCCTTTGAAAGGCAGTAGAACTGTTTAAGCTCTAAACTGGCTCTCTAAAGTGGTCTTTGGCCTCTGATTGCGCATGCAGAAGCTGTCCTGATTATTGGATGTGCAGCTCTACCATCATGCAGAAGTACCTCTTAAACATGCCCTGGAGGGCTATTAAATCAAGGAAATCAGGATTTTAGTGGGTCCTACATGAGCTGAGACGTGGCCACTTTACCAACAGGGCTGAGCTCCAATCATTATTCAGCTCACAGTGAGAAATTATTCAGCTTTTACTGTATATGAACCACCTACTGAGAGCAGTGTGGGATGTTTTACACATGACATGGAGGCAGAGAGAAGTAGAGCCTGAGCAGATTCTAACCTGAGAGAAATAATCACACTAAATATTTCAATTACATTTTAATATAAAACACATTGATATTTATATTCTGCTTAAAGTGCTCCCTCAAACGCCACGCCCCTCACCTACATGCATGAGCGCCGTTGCTCCAGAAGCAGACCTCAGCACATTGTTTGCATAGTTAAAAAACAATTTTGTCTAATGTCTCATTCAGCGGTAACTAAACTTTATCATATAAAGACATCACTATTGTACTACTCACAACAGCCAACGACTAATGCACTGTATAAACTCCCTCATCGTTGGCGCTTTGAGGGTGGGCTATAGACGCAAGTGGTAAAGAACGAGCAGGGAGATGTGATTGGTTCATAAGATTGGTACCTCGTGGTAGACATTGGTCGAAGTTTTTGCAGGTTTACAACTGCTACAGATGACAAGATTTTATTTTTTCCTTTTTCAGAGCATGAGTTATTCATTTCTGACAGGACCTGAAGACAACTTCAACCAAAATCTTAAAAAGTGTATCTGGAGAAAATGACCAACCTTGCCTTCAAGTTGAAAAATGTTGAATGTAGAGAAAGGTTGTTTTTATTAAAAAGCACCTGACATATTGGTTAAGGCTTTAACGAGTGGGTTTGTGATCATTTGATTTGAACCCTCTTTTCAGCCACAACCTTCTTTCACCTGAATGCTAATGAAGCATGACAATGCCTTTGTTAATATTAATTGCAATCAACAAAAACAAATTCAGCCATTTTCTAAGTTACCTGGTGAACTGGATCATCCTGCTAGGGATAATTTCCCGACATGTATTCTACAGGTTTCCAAATGATGGAGGCAGAGTTTATATTCCTTAGATCCATCACATAAATAGTGGAGTATTCAATTTTTCCAGTTTGTTCTACTTGTGAATACGTGGGTGACACTGATCACAGATTTTTCAACTATACAAATATTTTATTCTAACCCGTTTTTCCTCTCCCAGCCTGACCATTCTTTCATAATTAATGTTATGAAGGCATGACCTTATTTACATTACGACTATTTTAGAAGTTACCTGCTTGGTGCAATTCTCCAACAAGTATTCTGCAGATGTCTTTATGGAGACAAATGTTCCTTATACGATCACATGTATGGTGGATTTCTGATGGTACACATTTTGAACAAATAATCAAAGTAACAATATCAAACAGACCAGAGTTTTAAAACAGTAAATCACTTTTAATTTAGTTCTCTCATCGGCAGGCGAGTTCATTTCAAACATGATGACAAATGAAGTGCATCGGTAGTAGAAGCCTCAACAGGATTTGATACATGGTTTGATACATGCTCCATTCAGACGCGTCCGTGAATCCACATATTACAAGCCAACATTTTTACTCAAATAAAACCACTACAGTTCAGCTCTTGACCTGATAGAATAAAAAGATAAGACAGATCCATCGCTAGATACAACGGTGGCAGCAATACACAGGATTGCCCAAGCAGTAAAGTACACGTTCCTTTAAGAAACAGGGAGAGAGAACGCGAAAAAAAAAACCTAACCTCTGGGTTTTTTTAACCCCCAATTCAAGTAGTATTTACCTTTTGTGTTTCTCATGTGTCTGCGTGTTTCGGTTAGCTTCTTAATAAATTCAAGTTCAGCGTGAAAAACAAAAAATGAAAATGACCAACAAAAAAAAACAGTCCAGATAATACATGTGTTGGTGAAAGGAGGCGACAAAGAGGAGGAAGGGAGAGCGGAAAAGGAGGAGTGACATTCTGGATTCCTCAGAGGGAAACAAAAAGCAGCAGGTGAGAAAGAAGAAGAAGAAGAGGGGGGAGTCAGGCCGGGATGGAGGGAGCCTGGAGGGGGGAGGAGGCAGCAGTCTACATGAGAGACAGATGTCGAGACTGGCTGTTGAATTCAGCAGGTGCTGGCGTTACTTGATGGTGAAAGCTCTCGACCAAACCTGTGTCGATTACCAACAGAATCCCCTTCAAAGTACTACTAGATTTTAGGGAAAAACATTAAGGAGGAAGTAATCAGAAATCAGTGCATTTGAGGGCATAAACACCAGAATTCTGACTCCAAACAAAAAGAATAACTCCTACGTATTCTCTCTTATGTGACGTAGTAAAGGGGCTTTTGTTTAAAATTGGGGTTTTCCAATTACTCAGGAGTAATCTCAATCTGAACAGTAATCTAACTCAGGTTTGGTGTTCTGTGCCTCACTGGCGCGGGGCCGAGTAGCGCCCCTCATTGGGACCTGCGCCCCGTCCAGAGCCGAAGCTGGGTTTCTGTGCCATTCCTCCGCGGGTGGGGGGTCCTCTGGGTCCTCCGCCACCTCCAATTCTCTCTCTGGGACCGCCGGGACCTCCTGGACCCCGGGGCCTCACATCCCGCCTGTCGCCCTCCCTGGCCGACCGGGTCTTCTTCTCCTCCACGTTCAGGCGCACGTCACCTCGGAACTTAATGGGCTGTGGAGGCAAAAGAATAAAGTTAAGACTTGTTTTGACAGTATCATAATTGATTTTTACTAACTGAAAATGTAAATCTATGAAGAAGACCAACAGAAGATCACAGCTAGAACAAGTAAGGGTAACCATTTTTAACAAATACTGCAAAATCAAAACCAGTCATCTCACCCTGTTGCTCAGGATCTTCTGCACAGGTTCAGAGTCGTCAAACACGACAAAGCCAAAGTTTGGAAGCTTCCCTCCGCTGTTGATCCTCAGTTCCAGGACTGTACCGTACTCTGTTGGATGAGGGGAGGAAGAGACGTTTTGTTTACTATACAATTCAAACGTTTAATGCTTTTTTTTTTGATTTTCAAAGATGAGACAATAACAGCTCTGTGCACAAAGTATTTGCATAGTAGGTCCACGAGTCACATTTAGCATCTACCAGTACAGCATATGATTAACAGTGATGTTGTACATTAGCAAGACTAATGCTTATTTTTAAATCTAGTAAACTGGACAATTTATGATGCATCTCTTTCTTTCAATCTATCACATATTCTAAGTCTGAAAACTTAGACACATGCTTTTAATACCTTTACAATACACTAAATACTGTGTTGACTCTGTCTTCTTGTCACCATGATGTATTTAAGGTGTTCCTGTCACTATATCAGAGCTTTTAAAGCTTCTGAACGAGCGTCATCAAATCCAACTTACGTTCAAAGAACTCCTTGAGCTCGGCTCTGTCCACGTCATGAGGGACGTTTCCCACAAACAGCTGGTGTGCGTCGGGGTACCGAACCACCCTGCGGCCCTCGGACTCCCCCTGCTCACCTTCCCGGACTGAAAACAAACAAGTCACCCAAAGTCAACAAGAGGAGAGATTATGCGAGAACACCTAGAACAGCTCTCTGGTTTGTGTATTCAGTGTACTGTGGATAAGTCATTTTGCACTTTACTTAAATAAAAAAATACAAGTTTTCATGTTGACATGTTGTGAGATGAGTCTCTGAACACACCTGCAGCCACAGTCAGAACACACACTAGCTTTTGCTCACAGTGCCATATTCAACAGCACACATCACATTTGATTATGTTCGGTTCCTACTGCCGGCCTCATGCTTGTCACAATGGCTGCTTGTTAAATCTGTTTGGAGGCTATTAAACTGCAGTATATATACTCTGTGTATGTACTGCAAGCGTGCGTGTGTACCTGGTCTGGGCCCTCTGTGTACCGGCGGAGGACCTCCAGGCCTCTGTTCCCTCGGTCTCTGGTCTCTCTGTGGTCTCTGTGTGGCTGTTTGGGACTCTGGCTTTACCTCCACTCTGGGCTGCAAGAAGTCAACAACACAAGTTTGTCAGAACAGAAAAACAAGCAGAAGAAAATCTGCTTTTTTTTCCTCGCTTATATATAGACGTTAGGATGCAAGTGTCTGCTGCCCTCGTATGTACTCAGTGAAAACAATCAGGTGTTGGAGTCTCACAGAAAGTTTGCTTTAGACACTGAAGTTCAGCCCCCACAAATCCATCTGCTTCAACTTACATAGAAGAGATCCAACATTGAGACCTACACTAATGTTTAAAACAGTGACACCTGCTGCCTCAAATGTACAGGACAATTCAAAGTTGTGGTTGGTTTGAGAAGTTACCACAAAAGGTTGGGTGTACATGAATAAACAAACCCGTTTATTCATGTACACCCAACCTTTTGTTGCATTTTATTTATGTTTGGAAGCTTAACACTTTATTTACCTTTCAAACTTGATGTGAGAAGCAGATAAATCTAGTTGTCATTTATGTTTTCCAAAAGATTACCTCCAGTGAAATTGTACTGTTCTGTGTCACTGAAAATTACGGTGGATGAGGGCCACGTAAAAAAAAAAAAAAAAATTAAATTAAATTTCGAGATTGAACTCGTAAATTTACGAGAATAAAGTCGTAAATTTACGACTTTAATCTTGTAAATTTGGGACTTTAATCTGGAAATTAAAAAAATATTTTAACATGGCCCTAATCCTCCGTTGTAGAAAATGCTGCATAGCTTAATTAACGATCTTTAAATAGTGTGATATGCACACAACTGTAATGTTGTATTGTTTTTATTACTTCTGTCTGATGATGGCTAAATAATATTCAAACCTATGTACAATCTCGAGAATAAATGTAATCTGATATATTGTAATAATGGTCAAAAAGCTGCAGCAACTTTATTCAAAAATTAGACTGACGCGTTTCGGCTTGTGGTAAGTTGATCTTCATACGAAAAGTGTCGCTGGAGCAATTTGACCTATTCAAGCCTTTCACTCGTCATGCACCTTAGTAGTTGGTGAAGTTGTGCCAGAAAATACCGCTCTGCTTCTTCAGGATCTTTTGAGAATGTCTGTTTGCTGATGAAACAGTTTCATGTGTTGGTAAACCTACCGCTGCTGTGGGAATGGCTTTGACGACGTGTGGGGGCATTCCTGACACTGGGACGGCCCCGCTGGGAGGGAGGTTCTTACTGGTGACGGACGCCCAGGAGAAGGGCTGTGAAGAGCCGAAACAAAAAGAGACATTAGAGCCCGATGGGCGGAGAAAACACAATGCTCAACCCTTCCTCAACTATCCTAGAACGGCATTTCAAATAAATCTTCATTTTTATTCTTTACTAAATAAAAATACTCTCACATCAACATGAAAAGCCTGATGGGATCAAAACATGTCCAATAGAGAAGAAGACATTTGCACATTATTCTTTTAGTTTGTTTGTTTTTTAAAATCAAGTTTCCATCCAGTAGAGTGCTTAGTTTATTTTTCTACTCTGTTGTAATGCCTCGTAATTCCATAACACAGCTTGTATTTGTAAATCTACTGAAGAACAACTAGATACTTATTCTGATCTAATGTGGGATGAATGTCAGCTTTACTCTTATACTCAACAATTCTTTTTGAAATTGAAAGAAAGCATGCCTGACAAGCATGCATTATCACAATGAAGAGGATCTATAACCTCCATGTGAAGTGTCGAGCAGTTATATGCACACTGGGTCGTTTTTGTCAACTTCACTGATAAAACAAACAAAAAAAACTTGACACCTGGATCTCAATCGGATCATTTGTCTTAGCGTTGCTGCATCTCTCTGTATGTGACTTTATTATTTCATGTGAAGAGCAGCCCTCTGTTCAAACCTACCCTGTTTTCTTCTGGAGCGGCGGGGGTGGATTCGGCGGGCATGGTGACAGGTTCGACAGTGGGCGGGGCGGCGGCAGGGCTTTTCTCTGTCTGGTCGTCGGTGGTGTTTGAGTCTGTTTGTGTCTCGATCATCGACTCCTGCTTCAGCTCCACCACTGCTGCCTCGACCTCCTTCTCCACCTCTGGCTCTGGTTCTGGACTCGCTGCGGCAGCTTCCTCCTCGTCACCGGGAACAGTCGGCTCCGAACTAGATGGAAAAAAACAAGAGACTGTTACACACAAACCTGTTTCCTTGTGCTGCTTTACAAAAAGGCAAAACACATCTGTCAATGGAGTCTTGTGGATTAGAAGAGAGCATTACCACATCTATTCAGGGTTTTTTTTTTTTTTTTTTTTTAAAAGCATCTTACTCTTTACCAAAAAGGGGAGAAAAAAAAAGAGTGTTCATATAATTAACTAGAGTGCATATTATTTGCAAGTTGCACAATGTGACTATAAATCAACATCAAAAGAGCATTAAAATCAAACACAAGTCTGTGACACATACCAGACTGCCGGGTCATAGAAGGCAGCAGACTCCTCAGGAGCGACGTCAGGGGAGGGAACCCTCTCCTCGATCTCCTCCACCTCATCCTCAGACTCTGAAGAACACAAACAAAGTCTTGATAAGTGACATTCAATAACACAGCTAACACCTGCTGTTGTCAAGGAATAAAATAAAAACACTTTCATAGTCACTTTAAAGACTCACTAAAACATTTTCCAACCACCTGTACAACATTCATACTTTACTTTAAGGCTAAATGTCTTGCTTTGGTTACTGTTGATACGACGTGGCTTCATTTAAAAGAGAAGAGAACAGCAGCAACTGTTGTAAATAAAAGACATCATTTGAAAGACACAAAGTACTCAAAATATGATGCTTTTACACACACACACACACACACACACACACACACACACACACACACACACAAGTTCAACAATCTCTAAATGATGATTGAGAAACTCTTCTCAGAGACTTGGTTTATCTTCAGGCAAATAATCTCACGATCAGAAAGATTAGAAAAGATTCAAAAGCACGAGAGAGAATCCTGCTGAAACGTGAGAGTTGAAGAAGGTGGATGTTATCTCACCTTCAGGAGGCTCAGAATCAGAGTCGGCGAACACCTCGTCTTGGTAACGAAACACGTCGTTGTGGACGTAGAATTTATTTGCAACAGTTCCCTGAAAGATCAAAAGATGGACCGTCAAACACAAAAAGACGTAGATGAAGATGAATTCAAAGATTCAGCACATCTTTTGTGAACTACAAACCTCAGGTGCCAGCACAAAGGTCTGCATGAACTTCCTCATGGGTTGCATGTTGTTGGACAGCTCGCCCATCACCTGCACCACCACGCCCTCGTTCAGGGTGGCGTGGGCGTCCACGTGTCGGATCTTAGTGTGACAATCGCGGAAACTCAGAGCCATCACCCTCTTATGGATCTCCTGCGAAATAAAGAAATCTTCAGATTCCAGCTTACATAACCTTTTGTCTCGTTTCCGCTGCTGTTTTTGGTTTCTCAATTTAATTTGTTTGATTTCATTAAACTCCAGAACTTGTAAAGTGAATCATAATCTTTGTGTCTTTATCTGAGAGAAACCATGACATTTATTAGCATGTGATGAATCAAGTGCAAAACACAGACTGGTTTCAGAAGTTTTCAGACTCAAGCTAAGTGTGGACTGCTGATCCTTTAAGAGAATGATTTGAGGAATATTTTCAACATAAAAATCCAAGCTGTAGTGACAGAAATCTGACAGACACCACTTGCTTGCTGCTTAAACTATATCGCCCAAATTGATTTAGAACCATGAGATAGCTCTTTGGTCAAGCTGACATTACTCCATCCTGGATGTATGATGTGTGACTCAGGGTTGTCTGATTTATGGATTTCTCCCCCCCTCCCTCCACATTTTATGAAGTGAGGTGGTTTAAAATCTGTCGTGCATTACAAACTGCAGAGGGCTGTGTCTGACGTTTACAAGGTTCAGTTTTAATGCACTGGAATCTGAGGTGAACCAAGGTGAAGGGTTCAAGGTCAACTACGAGGAATTTGCTTTCACGTGTTTTCATAGGGCAACACAGCGCTTTGAAATGCAGTTTAAAGTAATCCTGCAGAGAAAATGATTGCTTTATTACTTGTTTCATTCACTGAAAAATATTTTTTGGTAGGTCTGGTCTTACTTTTTTCCTTATTTGTGCTGAAGAGTCTCCTCTGTTTTGCACAATTTGGCCAACATGTCAATGTAGATCACTTCAGCATTTAGGTCACTGTGATAACTATTTTGAGATTTTATAGCCCAAACACATTTTGATTCATTGTGAAAATGGCAGTCAGATTGATCAAAAACAGTTATTGCGTCTAGGACAATTTGTATCACGTTTCCTTTTTGTGATACAACTACATGCTTGCATCTAGGTGTTGCCTGGTGTAAATGCAGTCCACATCCTTCCTCGCATCATTTCTCATTAAGAGGATCATATTTGGTAGGGGTGTAAAGGTACACGTACTCGGACCGTTTTGGTACAGGGCTTTCCGAGTACGCGCGGAACAAAAGTGCTTTATCCGTGTTCCCACGCAGACCGCCAAGTGGAAGCACACATCAGGGCCGAGGAAGGCTGCGGCCGCTGGTATGGGACAGCTTTTAGTTAGTAACTTGTAAAAAAGTTCAAACATAAACTGTGCAAACTGTGAACATTACTAGTTCCTCGAGCCCTGTCGGTTTGGACAGTTGCATATAACCGGGATGTAGTTCTTTTTACGGACTTACTCTTAACTTTCGTTTTCAGCAATGATCCCGCTCCAGCAGCGCAAAAGGGGAGGGGGAGACGTGTCTGTGTGGGAGCATTACCTGCAGCATGATAGAATGAACACCTCCCTCCCCATTCCCACAATTTTTCAGAATTACTAACCAAGGGAAATATTAATAGTTCTGCAATGAAACTATACTGTCCCATATGTGATTAGGTTTATTATGTGCTCAAAGGGCATTAAAAAAAACAGTTGGCTTAATGAAGTAAAAGGTGTCACTGTAATTAAAGAGAAATATTTTTACATATAGGCTATATTAATTAATTTCATTCTAAAATGCTTTATTTCATTCATGTGTTTTATTTATTGGAGACTCTTTTGGTTGAAGGATGCAGCATAAGTTTATTTCATGTTTTTGTTATTAAAAAGTAACCTGAGCAGGTGTACAAGTCTGAACTGTCGATGCTGCATTTAGCGCAATGTGTAAATTCAAAATGTTCCTAATGAGAAAAAAAAAGTGTTGCATCAGGTCCCTTTACTGCACTGAAAATGTACCGAACCGAAGCTTCAAAACTGAGAACCGTACCGAACCGAAATTTTTGTGAACCGTTACACCCCTAATATTTGGTTTTTGCACCATTTTCCACACTGGATGAATAAACCCCAGTTTTGTGGGAAAGAGCTTCACATGAGCGCAGTGAAAGCAGACCTCTGTAGAAAGATCACCTGCTTAGCATCTCAAGGTTGGGAAAAAAAAAAAAAAAAAATCGGAGAACGTTAAGGGAAAATAAAACGATTAAAAGGACTCTCCTAAAATTCCCCACCAGCTTCTAGAACCTTCCTGATGGTAAAAGATTGTCTGGATGGTGTACTTTCTGCTGTCATTTTGGATAAATCAACTCTATGAAAGCAATTTTGCTTTCAGCTCTCAGTTTCCCCTCTCCATGTCAGTGTGTGGGAGTTGAGTGCAGCACCACTCTATTGAAATAACATTTTTAAGAGCTGTTATCTGCTGGATGAGCCCACTTACAGATTGTCCATAAACAGCCTCGACTGGTTTGCCGTTGTTGTCCATGCCGCCGTGCACGTAGGAGGAGTTCTTTCCATAAAACCTGAGCGGACACAAAAAGGTTAATTTGTTTGATAAAGGGCAATTTAAGCAATATGCATAATTATTATCCAGCACGCTGCATGACAAGACAACATGTGGCTTTACTCTACAGGAACACAGCAAGGGATTCAACAAACTCAACAATAATCACACAATAGAGAAACAAGCATTGGTGATACCTGTGCAGGTAGTCCGGGGCCTGGTTAAGGAGTGTGTAATACTGTCGGACAAACTCTCGCCCGACCAGCTGGGCACTTGGCTTCTCCATCACCATTTCTTTGGTCAACTGGAAATCTCTGCAAAGATAAGGAGAGGAGATTTGACTTGTCATTATAGAGACAGAGAGAAAAACTAAGGGGTGAGGTGGTTTTATAGTCATCTAAAATGAACTTGTTTTATATTTTACAGAGCTATATCATTTATCAAGATAACATATTTTACAGTTTGTGAAATATATGAATAGCTGTGAATGCTGCAGAGCATTAAGAATTCACAGTGCAACTTCTTCAGAAACTGCACCGTGTAGTTTGATCCTTTTTCGCTAAAAACATTCAAATATCTTTGCATTTGTTAGTCATTTGACCAAAATAGTCCAGCTGGATCATGCATATTTTAAAAGAATAGGTTCACATTTTGAAGACTAAAAAATTGACTTTAAAAGATGGCAGCTAAAAAGCCTTCATACATTTGTTTTCCTACACATTCTACCTACAGAAAAAGGGAAAAAATGCAACTGACTACTCATTTATGTATGAATCCAACTATTAAAGAAACGCTTCCCCTTAAAAGAAATATGCACAAGACATTGTACACTTGGGATGAATCCATCAACTGTCCTGATCGGATTGCAATCGGGTCCAATCTCAAAAAGTTTGAGGGGCAGATCATTTTAGGCAAACATAACCTTTGATTTCATGGCATGCAAGCTACCAAATAACAGGCGCTACTTAATTGTTTATCTGGACCATGTTAAGGCCAGAAGCTTGAGATGTGTATTATCCACCCAAATGACTAGCATTTACTGCCCCATCTGGGTGCACCGGCATGAAAAGAGCCTGCGAGGGCACAGAAAAGCATCACAGACATTAGCCGTTTGTTTTCATACCAAGTGGATAAAATCTCAATCTGCACAGTCACTGAACTCAAATGTCACTTCAACTGCACTGATTCCCTTTCTGCCATTTTTTTTTTTTCCAAAGTGAACAGATTGCACGTTTAAAAAAAAAAAAAACACACTAAAAGGACATTGTGTACTTAAAAACTGTCCAAGGGCTTTCTGTGCCAGCTGGGAACTACTTCACCATCAAACATCTACTGAAATGGGCAAAACATTCACCTTTCGTGTTTCTCTATCAAATCTTAATGTCACTTATTGAGACCGACTTTACTATGAAATCTAAAACTTCCCTTAAGTGACAAATGGGTTTAAATTACCAGCTTCCTCAGCAGTTATTTAGGGGCACTACTTTGTGCTGTTTCCATTTTAGGTCTGTGGATTAAACGGTCTGAAGGGGCCAAAGACTGGACACTTTCCAGACGTCAATGTCCCTGAAGTCACATCTGTATTTAGGATTTAATTTGTCTGTAGAGCATTGTGTTTCAGATTAAGGTTGCATGAAATAGAATTCCAAATTGAAGTGTGGTATTGTTACACTTCAACACCACATTGTGGGAGAGAAAACATTTGAAATGTGTTTGCTTTCTCATGCTTTGTACAACAGACTGTCTTCTACTCGGCTGATTTTACCCCGAGGTGATTACTTCTCAAATGTAACCATGCTCTTAAAACACATTTACACTTTAAGAAGCATGCTTCAACAGCTCCACATTCTTCTAAAAGTCCCTGTCTGTGTGTATTATATTGTTGTGAATGCAGCTCAGTGCTGACACTGTTTTCACGTGCAAGTGGCTGCCTATGTAACATATTAACACATGGAGCCTACATGCCCATCAGGTTTGATGAATTAATGATGTGAGAAAGTTTCATGTGGCAGCTTCTTGGTTTTAACACAACACTGACCGACCATTCATTAAAACAAATGTTCCTGTCTTGTAGGAATGCATTACAGACACAGCTGATGAAAATTCAGGGTTTTGTTACCATCAACAATCCCAGGACTTATTAAAACCAACACGACTAAAAAAAAAACGTGCAGCAATTACATTTTTTGTCCTCTAAAAAAATATTGGACCCAGAGCTTAAGTTTTTAAAGATGGAATTATTTCCTACAATAATTAGTGTTATTAAACTTCTTTAAAACCAAAGCAAATAGCATATTTGGTCTGGACTCACAGCAGCATATCTAGTGCTGACTTTTGTGAGCAGGTCTTGGACAAAGATTCATATTTACATGAGCTGTACTAAGGTCTGTTCAAACTCAAATACCTAATTTGATACATAGGAACACCAATTTTCAGGGCAACACAAATGGATGGGGTTTATAGTTAGTTTGTGTTATAATGAATATGAGAAATCTTGGAATATCTTGAGCATGAAACTGAAAGCACTATGGCACAAACACATTTGGGAAAACACTGTACATGTTAGAAGTTCAATCAAGCACACACACTTTGTTACTGAATGTCTTTCAGCACCTAATGGAAAAAGTGCTTTCCTTAATGGACTGTCCCCCACACCTGTCCACACAACAGAGCCATCTGTTATTCTGGCGTCCACTTAGAAACCAACACTCAACCAGCAAACATTAACTGATCAGACACAGCTAGACCACTTTATGTGGAGGTGCTGAGGTTGAGAAAATACCCCTTACCGCATGTTTTAAGCTGATACGATCTGTTACGTTGGTGACTACCGGCATAGAAACCACTGAAACTCTTACCATGTATTTCTCATAGGACAGTTGTGGTAAGAGTAGAGGAATAATGCAAACTCCTGCACATTGTCTAAGTTTTTGCTTGCGCAATTTAGACAGCATGCTGGCACTTTCTGATAATTGAAAGTGAGAAGCTATCCAATTGGGTTCCTATGGCTTCTCAATCAATCAACCAATCAATTTTTTTTATTTGTAAAGCGTCAACTCCAAGTGTTATGTCGAGACACTTTACAAAAAGCAGGTAAAATACCTTACTCACTGTTATATTACAAAGAACCGGCCTATCCATCATGAGCACTTTAGCAAAGCAGCAAAAGTCACTGCATTTGTTTCCCTGGTAAAGCAAGTCTCAATATCCTTTGATTTGTACTAGTATAATATCCAATATGTGAAAACCATAGGAGGGACACACAACCTGGGACAGGACTTATACCTGCTAACACCAGGGAGTGGGGGGGGGGGGGAGATAAGCTTGACTGGATCTGAATTTTCTTGAATAAAAAAGAACATTTCTCCTAAGTTTCTTGAAGCATAAGAACATAAAAGTGCACAGTTCAGTGCAGCAGCCACATCAGAAAGCAGCCCCGTGTGTTAAAAACCTTCAGCATGGTGTGCAGACAAAAGGCCACGCCGTGCCCGCAGCCGGACCGGCCTACACTCTGCAGCCGGTGTTGCGGCTCTGCAGGAGCAGGGTGAGACTTCTTTGGAGCACAACCACACCGACGGTTTCCAGATTTAACCTGGGCTTCACATGGCACGCTGCCTGGCCCGGCTACAGAGCTAAAACCCCGCGACAGCTGGGTGAGCACACACGGCCCCCCTCCCCACCTTCCTCCCCCAAAACTAGGGCAGATGATGGATTCAGAAGCAGCCACAACACGTGTCCCGGTCCTTCCTCTGACATACCTACCACTCACCGAGCTTTAGTTCCCCTTCTAGAGAGTTCAAGATGTTAAGACATTTGTGAAGAGGATATAAAATGAAGTTAAAATAAAGGTTAAGACTTTAGGACGACAGAAAGGGAGGGAGTCACGACTGAATGAGCTACACAGTGAGGGGGGTTGGGTATTTCCTGGAAACCACACCTGGCAAGCGGGTAGTGACGACCGTGGTTACAACCCAAAATTTCATTAACATTAACAGCATCTTCGTCATCCCCTGCTTTATTTTTTTGATTATTTAACTCGCAACGCAGAGATACATTCAAAAACAATTTCGTGAAATTATCGCCGGGCTGCAGCTAAAGTTAGCGCTCAGTTAGCTGCCGTCACCTCTCCAGGGTTTAGACGGATCCCTGGAAAAAAAAGCGACCCCCAGTTAAAAAAAAAACAAGAACAGCGACAAAGATAATAAAAGGGCGACGTGTTAATTGGGAACTATTGCCAGTATATGTGGGAGGAAAAACTTACCAGTGAGACGATTATCAAAAAAAAAATCGTTGATTTAGAAAACGAGTGATTTCTTTTGAATCACCTCAAGCCTTGTAGCACGAGCGGCTTCACAACGTGCTGGAGTGCTCGGTTACCGGTTTCAGCTGCGCAGCCGAACCGGACATCCCGCCCCCTTCTTCCACGATATCAACCAATCAGCGTCAAGTCGTGTAAGTCATCCACCAATGGTGTGCCGCTGCCGTAAGCGCTCTTGAATCGTAGCCAATCGTGAAGGGCTGTGCCTCTACGTTTTTGGTTTTCTCAACAGGGCCAATGACGTTACGTTGTCGGGTTTTTTTTTCTTTTGGGTGCGTTGGTTTTATGGGCCGACATCTACCGGTGAGCTTTCTGCACGCCGTGCACCGGGGCCTGTTGTCCACTTGGGAGCGACAAAACTATATTCCACGTTGAAAGTGATTTATTTACACCAAATGACTCATCAAATTCATTTAATTCATTTTGATACTTAAACAGAGATTTTTACACAGAGTGAGTTCTGATCTAGAAATAAAAGTCCATGACAAACCTGTAGCAACATATTTGCATAACATCCCAATGTTAAAGAGACTAAATACAAATAAAGACCAGCATTTTCAAAAAATAATGTTAGGCCTACAGAAGCCCGTACGGGACATTCTGTTTTAATAAGTTATCATCTCGAGACGGCAACAGGAGCTCTATCTGCTAAACTCGTTATAACAGAAAAAAATAAAGTTGTTAACCTAAGACAAATACGTGGAGAATTCAAGAAAACAACCTTTATTTACACTATGGGAAAACAGAGTTAAATAAATTGCATGTCCTCTTAGGGCTTCCGTATATTGGTTGAGCGCATCTAATCATTACAAATGAAAGCTAAACATAACATCAACACAACAAGCATCAAATAAAAAGTCTTAAATTAACAGGTTTTAGGTTTGTAGGCCATTTAATCAGGAGTACAATCCCTCAATTGGCGAACGTCGCAGAATAAAATAGATTTACTACAACACAAGGATAAACACTTATAACCTTCTTCTTAACTTTCTCAATCATATCTCCTGGTGATATAATGAGTCATCATGAGTTGTTAAGTTGTTTATTCTGATCCCATTAGCCAACCGAAGTAGCAGCTATACTTCCTGGGGTCCACTCAAACCAGATGGTCTGAATATTTGGCAGTAAAGCCTACCACAAAATACAGACTAAATGTTGATGTTTCTGTCTACTTACCAATAAGCTGGTGTTTTCTACTTCATGCATTAATGAAGTAAACATTAAGAACAGACGACCCAGTGTACCTACAAGAGAGCTGAGTGGCAAAAATGTCGAAAATTCAATTGATCATTCCAGCTGGTTTTAAGATCATCATGATTAATCATACATAATTAAAGACTTAATCAAACATATCTTTATCTTAATGTGATATGTAGGAATTCAGGGCTTTTGGAATCCCTTCAGGGTTAGGCTTGTTGCCTGTTTTTCTCTGAGGCTATCTAGCTTTGATATCAGTAGAACCGCATTATTAGTTTGATATTTTAGAGTACAGTTTCATTAATTATGTGAAGTAAAACTTAGCTTATATATTCAATTTTGTCAGACAAATAACCAAACTTTGGAGGATTATGATTTTCACAGCTGAAATCACTCCACATGTTGTCGCCCTTTACAGCAGGAAGATGACAGAACACAGCTCTAAAGACTGCTGCAAAAAATGTGTGATTTTTGTTGTGTTTAATTATATATACATGTTGTTTAATTGTTTTCCTAATAAATGCAATGTTAGCAGTCAACCAGAACAGGTGTTACACGCAGCAACATGAGTATAGAGAGAGTCCTGCTGTGTTTGGAGCAGAGTTCATCTTCATTTCCAAAAGGACATAAAAGTCTACACCACAAACACCCACAAGCAAAGACCTGTGCTCAAAACAGTTGTTAGATTTCACTACCACACCCTCCATTTCTTCCCCACAGTGCTGCTAAAAGCACAGAGGGAGGAAGAGAGGACGCTGAGAGTGTTTTTTTCCGCCTGCTGTGGCTTTTTTTTTGGTGTGTGGATGAGGCCCGGCTGTTGTTTCACATTCTTGACACTGGAGTCTGGATGAACGGGTGGGGATGGTAACAGGGTGCACCGTCTCTCCCTCTCCTGTCTCCCAGGGGACCACGAGCAGCTTTATATACAGCCAGAGGTTTAAATTAAAACGGTCAAATGTATCACTGTCTCTCAAAACCCGCTGGGGACTTCATAAAACACAGACACACGGAGCCATGTGAGGAAGTAATGTTGATTCTCTGGAGGTTTAGTTTATGCTTTGTTGAAACTAAACGTTCCTCAGGTTTGGATTTCCTTTGTTTTATGGCCCATAAGCCCACACTTTAAAGTTTATTTATGTTTGGTTCAGGTACATTATTTCCCAAATGATGTCAGAAGAAAAGTCATATTATCAGCATGATCTGAGGCAAGAAAAAGTTGGTAATGTACTACATTAAGGATCCACTTAACTTAAGAATTTATGAGGTAAATAAACAATTTAAAAACATTGTGCACTGTGCAGAATTGCACATCCTGCATGCTTTAAATGCACACATTATGAAGAGGAAAGCTGCATTAAAACTCACAATTTCTGCATATACATGAACAAATGCATCTGACTTTGTCCTGTTGAAGCTTGACAGACATTGTAAGACATGTTCCACGGCTTGATGTTTTATCAGTCTCTAATAGAACATGAAATGGTCACAGGTGTTGTTAAGCCACAGTTAGCATGGAAGACAATGCTTGATTATTCAAAGGATGTGTTATGTGACATAACAACATTGGACGACAAAGGTCAAATGTTTTTCAGCAGTGATTAGTAAGAGCACGTCATGTATGGAGGCTGTAGTCCTCCAAGCAGGCGGCCCGGGTTCTAATCCGACTTGTGGCCCCTTTCATGCATGTCATCCCCTTCTCTCGGTCACTTACCGATCTCTAACTCTATCCACTGTCCTGTCTCTACAATAAAGGCATAGCAAGGCTGATGCACTTGAGGAATGAAACTGAGAACTTAAAAACCTCAGATTGAGTTGATGTTTTTGCCAAAAATGTTGTGCATTTTTATTCTTGATGTCACAGGGTTGCAACAGCTGCAATTTAGGCTTTTGGCTGACTCTAATATTGCACAAGCATGCAACAGTAGAGTCAAGATTTAGAACGATGTAGAGGGAGCAATAAAATCTTATTTCAGTGACTGTATTCTGATCAGGGTTGAGAATAAAGCGCAAGTGTGTGCGTATAGGCAGTTTCTTTTTGAAGCCTCAAACTGAACTCATGAGGGATCCTTTTAAAGGCAATACAGCTGCACAAAGGCAGCATTCCAACACAACCCAAACCAAAGGCTCCTTCAGCTACAACGAGAGGCTAGCTCCTTACAGCAGTGTCCTGTGATGAAAAATGGGACACTGGATTCTCTCACGCATGAAATTCTGCTCACAAACAAACCGGCCTCCTTGGAGCCTCGCTGATAACTTGTCAGATCATCTCAACGTAAAAATTCATCTGAAGACAAGAAATGCAGATATGAATGCATGCAGAGATGTCCAGGTCTTTTCATAGTCTTTTATTCATTTTGAAGAGGTAAGCTGCTCTCAGTGTCAGTATAGAAACACGTCAATTTATGAGGAAAAACTCAGCCTGCAAGATTTTCCCCTCATTAAAATGTCCGAAACAATATCAGTACACGTGTGCCCTCGTCCCAGACACAAATCTGTCTGGAAAACAACAATGAACTCTTAAAGATCAAAAGACACAAAATGATAAGAGTCCGCCACCAAAAGAGTGCCAAAACTATGTTTTTTGTAGAAAGCAAGCAGAGGGAGCATTTATTTAGAAACTTTATTTCATCTTTACAGTTTTGTCTCCTCGAGATAATGTTTCAAACTGATCTCCAATTTAAAGCCCTGAACAGATCATAGCACATAATCATGTCAATAACATACATTTACATCAGAGGTCTTTAGTTTGCTTTACTGGGGAATTCATGAAACAAAATGTGATGGTTGGTTAGTACAGACTGTGCACATTTCTCATTTATAATCTTTTTTTTTTTTAGTGGTATAGGTAGGAAAGGTCATTATTTAAACAAAACAAGAAAATGATTTGCCATTAGCACCGTTACTGTGATTTATTTAACTTAGGGATCAGCACCTCGTCCTGTTAGTAGTGACTAGGAGTTGTCAAACTGCTGCTCAGAGGAGCTCAGATGATCAAGTCTTTGTCAACATCCTCTGCAAACAGAAAGAAACAAAACAACCATCAGGACAAATTAATGTAGACATCATCTATGAGCAAGCAAAACACTCAATAATAATGTATTTATATTTTAATGAATCCAATGTAGAAACAAGAAATTTGCATGTACTCTTTGTTACATTATATGAACAGTTTCAGTATAGTGGCATTAAAGGGGTTCAGGGTGTATTTGTTGGCATTATTTCTGTGGTAATACAAAGCAGGGTTTATAGTTGCAGCTAAACCACTGCTTTTTTGTGTTTTTGGGGTTGGATACTCACGCTCCTTGATGCCGAAGCAGCTGGCCCACTCCTCCAGAGCGATGTATTTGTCGCCGTCAGCGTCGCACTGGTCGAAGAAGCGGGTGGTGCAGTGCTCCATGGGGATGAGAGGAGCGCGCAGGGGGGACAGCTCTGTGTGGGTCAGGTATCTGGTGGTATACAGACCCGAGAACATTTTAGTGTAGCTTAAGCAGAGGGCATCTGAAAATTAACAAATGTGAAAGCCTTCCCCTTGTGAGGCCAAGTTAATTATAAGGACAACCATTGCAGAAATATTTACAACAAAATGCTGAAAATAAACTTCACTAATGCTTTTAACACTTTGTATGAATCATATTTTTAAGATCTTATATTCTGCTTTCCCCTAGTGTTAACAAACTTGCCTCATTGGAGTTATTTCACTCAAAGTTCTTAAAGACATTACTGCAAAGCAACTGGAAAATGCTCTTTGGTTTGAGGCATTGAAAGTCCTGCTGTCACTTCATTTCTTTTGAATAAGTACAGGGAACAGCAGTTGGTATACTCTGCTGGATTCATCAGTTTGTGGTATGAGATCAGCGGCTGCATCATCCACACAGGAAACCAATCTGCTCTCAGTCTTCCAGATACTCAACCACTGCCTGAGCAGCAGCCAATATTTTGGTTTACAAGCACCTACATTTGCTATCTCAACAGAATACCCAAAATAATTTCCTCTCTCCCCAGCTTTGGTTTTGACACTGAAATCTGCATCAACAGCTATCTTTCAGTGTTTTGTTTCCTACGTACCCGTCGAAGGGATGCTGGTCGAGCAGGCCAAACTGCCAGTGGACAGGGAAGATGTACATGTTGTAGTTCTTCTCGAAGTCATGAGCCAGCAGATCCAGAGAGTGCTCACCAGCCTGCAGCCTCTTCTCGTTCTCGTAGATCTTCTTCACCTGGAAGATCAGATGGACAAAATCCAGATTTAAAGCTGCTTTAATGATCAGTCAAGAAGGAAACGCACGGAGTGCTGCAGGGTGTTAACAAAACATTTTTAATATGGTTGAAAATAATTTGTCCCTCTGGTGCTCTTTAGAGTGAGGAGCCAACTTGAACACTATTCAAGCAGTGTGAGGAACTAGAGGGGCAGATTTACTGTTTGCAGAATCAACATGATACCTAAGCAAGTATCCTGGACCATAATAGCTTTCAAAGTAATTTGGAAAGGTATCTTCCAAGTAAATCCATTCAGATACCATTTTGCTAGCCATTGTTCAAGATAGCAACAAGGCTAAAGTTAAAACAGCTAGTGTTAAATAAGCTATATTGCATTGTCCTACCATTAATTGCTTTGACTCTATAGCTGCCATTTGCAAAAGACATTCTAGCTTATTCATCCACTGCAGGAGTCAGGATGAATTAGCTCAGTTCTGTTTTTTAGCTAGCAATTTGTATATTGCTAGTGTTCGCTGACAAAATCAAGCACAGAGGAATTGGATTTTTGTAGTTCAAGATGTTTGCTTCAGGTTCAATCATTATTCTACTTCACACTTCATTTTAAGCTCAGTGAAGTCTGGATATTTAAAGCAGAGCTGCTGTTAAGTGGTGACTTAATGCAGGTCTCCCTTTTACAACTTCTAAAAAGCCTACAAAAGTAAAAAGACTAATCTGTGTGTGTTGGATACATTTCAAAGGATGCAAAACTTTTGTTTTTTTGCCTCATTCAGTCTTGTAAACTGTTCCTCAGTTGAACCGAGTAAAGCTCGTAAACTCTTTGAGCCATTTCTAGAAGTCTACAGTGTGTTGAAAGTGCAATAAAACACAACGTGTGTGGTGCAGTATACAGTCTGTTTGGAGGGCTTGTCATGAAATTGTTGTAAATTAGATTAAAGGAAAACTCAAAGTCAATTGCTTATTCCATTTAAATAATCAATTACGTGCACTTGCATGAATTTCACATTCGGACAGGATTTCAGACACAAAACTGAAACTGGTCATTTGATAAACTTGTTTTTCTGCATAACTGCAATGTCTACCAGTCTATAAAGCTGGAGTCTCAGTCAAGCCAAGTGTCTTTATCTAGTACATTTTAAACATCTGGTTATAAAGATTATTCTCTCATTTTTTTAAATTATACAACGGAAAATCCAGCAGGTAGGTACACTCGAAATACGAATAAAACTGTAAATCAATCTTTTATCCAAACATCTCCTCACCCTGAGCTTCTGCTTCTCAGTCAGCAGGTTGTTGTCCTCATCGCGCTCGTACAGAGTCACGAGAACGTTCTTCAGCCAGTCCCTCATACGCAGGGGGAACTCATTCAGCTCTGTGTCCATGCAGGGCTCAATGACTGCAGACAGAAAACACAACTTCAGCATTAAGACAAGCTGGTAAACTTGAATTCATGATGCTGAAATAAACATTAGGGAATACAAGCAACATCAGGCCCTCAGTCTGTTAAACCATATTTCCGTAAAGTTGTCATACTTGAAAAGCAGATGCATACTATGAGTCAAAACAAAAAATATTGAAGCCATTCCTTAAAATAAAAAATCCTCCTGTGTTGCATTACCTTGATCTCCATTTGCACCCTTCAGCCCTGACTAATCCCTCAATGCGCATGTCTGTGTGAGTGTGTCATGTTGAGTTTGAACAGTGGAAGAAATGCAGCCTGCATGTTTGGACAGGTCCTCCCTTTGCTGAGCTGCAGCCTGCAGGCCAGACACGACCCCCTGAGCTGCCTGTCAGTCACAGAGTCAAGACACCGAACACTAACACGACCGACAGTAAATTTAACAACTGAGCTTATCACAGGTAATTTAAGAAGAACACACTCACAACTGATCCCTCAATAGTAAACAGAAACCACAGGTTGCAAAAACAAATCCCTGCAGCTTAAGATATGAAATCACAGCTGATGTGGTTTCAGGTTATCTTAAAAGAGCATTTCCACAAACAAAAACAAAGTTAGAATGCTGAATATTTCTGTAATCTGCAGAACCCTCTCACCTGATGTCACCAAACAAGATATAATGTTTTTACTTTGTAGAATCTGCACATTAAACATCAACTCATTCTGTCTGCACGCTCTTCTAGTGGATTTGCGATATAAATTTAGTAATGCCTTTTATTTTGAAGAGTGTGGTCTTGTTTTGATAAGGAGCATCTGCACTTTCAACCCACCTTCAAATCTGGGTTTCTGTCTATGAAGGGATTTGTTAATAATGGTAGACACTTCCCATAGCAGCCTCTGCCATCAGAGTGTGAATGTGTGAGAATGATTATGTATTACCTGTGGTGAAAAAGTGCTTCAAGTAGTCAGAAAACTAATAAGCTGAAGCTTTACAGTTCTAAACAAGTCATTTTACCATGGATAAACCAATGCACACTATACGTTGCATTTGATAACTAACAGAAGTCAAGTTGTCCAGTCATTTATGGTGGTGCTCTTGCATGTCTGCAGTTGTTTGGTGTTGACTCTTTTTGTTTCTCTCCAGAGGAGTCATTGAAGCAATGAGTCAGAACAGTTCAAATAATCCCAGTTTAGCCTGTATTTAGCTGTTTATCACTTCTAATGAAATCTCAGGTGACAGATCAGTGTACTGTAAAAGCAGGTCATCATAGTGACTTAAATACTTCTGTAAATGTTGTGGCAAGTAATTTTTTTGTCACATTAACCATCTAACATTTTCTAATTTACATCAAGATTCAGATTAAATAAAAAAGTCACAAGATATAGCCTTACTTTTTCATGTTCTTCCAACCACTTTTTAGAGTGCAAGAAATAGAGTATTAACAGTCAGGAATCCCTCTGTTGACATTCATATCTGGACATTTGCTGCCACTATTTTGGCACCTTTGCCATGCTAAGATCTTTGGTTTAAATATGGACATGCTCTGTAAACACCAAACATTTTAGCAGTAGAGTGTGAGAGCTCACATTTGCAGGGTCCGATGTAGTCCAGGTGCAGCTTGTGGCCCTTCTTGGTTCCCTCCAGGGTGCACTTGGTGGCAAAGAATTGGCAAGAGGTGTCATAGGTCTTGTTGTCGGTTCCGCAGACCTGGAAAAGAAAAGACAGACTGATGATTTTTCACTGCTTCTAGGTTCTGCATGATGAGATAAATAAGGCTTGTTCAAAGAAAGTTCAGCAAAGTGACAAGCAGGGGCACAACACCAACAAAAAATAATCATATTTGTTACATAGACTAACTTTTAATCAAATATCATCCAAACCTGTTCTGTTGTTTGAGATTTCTTGTTAACAGCACCTCAAAGTGCAGATTAAATATAAACTGATTTAAGCACAAAAGGTAAAGACTGATTTTGGGTGGACTCACATGCTCAAACTCTCCCTCAGCAGCAGGGCAGGTGGAGGGGTCTTGGCACACACACATGGGGGTGTTCTCCTCATCAACCTCACACACTTTCCCCTTCTTGCAGTGGTGGTTCAGGCAGGGATCTGGACAAAAATATAAAACACAGTTACAGTCTATGCAATGGGCCATGAGTGAAACACTGATGTCACAGAAGCTAAACAGACATTATTTCCAAATATTTCCAGAGTCTGGTGATGTTTATGCCAAAAGAAGACTCCAAGGAAATCTTTGAAACACAATTAATAAGCCAAATGACTGCATACATAAGGAAACGTCGTCAAAGAGCTTGTGTCTGACTTCAGTGGCTTCTCTAAGAATAAAATAAAAGTCCAGAAAATGTTGCTTCATTAAAAAAAGCACAAGTAATGGAAAAAGGCTGTTAATGTTGAAAATGCTAGGAGTTATACTGGAGCAGAGCCTAAAAAGTTTCAGTTAAAACATTGTACTTAGCACAGAAGGCAGAGGTGGCCTAGCAGTTAGGTTGTGCCCCATGTATGGAGGCAGAAGTCCTACAAATGGGCTCTATCCACTGTCCTGTCCCAATAAAGCCATAAGGCCAACAATATATCTACAAAAACACTGCAGTTATACTGTCTTTTGGTTGTTTTTGCCCTGTGTATTTTGGCTTTAAAATTACAAGACATGGGACTGTAAACCTCATCTTTACTTCTCTAAAAGATGCATTTTGGTACCAAACTGTAATGTTTTTCTTACTTTGGGGTAAGAGTGAGTCAGTACTTTATCAACCCTAAATGTGTTGAGATATTTTTGTCCTTAAATTGGTTTAAGACAATTAGACAAGCCTCTAAATTATTTTTTTTTTTAAATCACCTATTCATGCTTAATTTGCTGAAAGTTCCAACAAAAATGTCCCTTTTGCTTCTTATTAAACCTTACACTGCAGTTAACATGAATAGAGTTTATAACCCTGCTTTCTGTCCTTCCATCCGACTGTATTTCCAATCTAAAAATACTAATAAACCATCAGGGGAAAAATCTGCTTTTCATGCAATATTCAGTGTTGTTGGCATCATTAATGAGGCGATGCCTGCGAGCTATAGTTCAGGCAGTTAACTGGAGCTGCACTGATTTCACATGCCTCATTCTCAGTCACCTGACAACACCTCCTTCCAATTAGAGGTCTATTTAAGCTGCAAGGTTTCTGGCCAATCCCTCTGCTCTTTCATTGCCAGCAGCAGTACTGAACTCTCGATCAGCCCCAACACCCACTTCTAGACTCCAACTCATCCCACCACTGCAAGTAAATTATAACTGAGGAGTGATTAGGTCAGAGCATATAGACCCCAAACACAGACCATATTCTGCTCTATAGTTCAGGCAGTTAACTGGAGCTGCACTGATTTCACATGCCTATTCTCAGTCACCTGACAACACCTCCTTCCAATTAGAGGTCTATTTAAGCTGCAAGGTTTCTGGCCAATCCCTCTGCTCTTTCATTGCCAGCAGCAGTACTGAACTCTCGATCAGCCCCAACACCCACTTCTAGACTCCAACTCATCCCACCACTGCAAGTAAATTATAACTGAGGAGTGATTAGGTCAGAGCATATAGACCCCAAACACAGACCATATTCTGCTCTAATAAACATTTTAAACATGAGTTGTGTGACTGAAATAACTCCACCATTAATCTCCATTGTTTTGACCTTGAGGGAACCCAAGTCTGACAGTATTGGTAGACAGAGATACATGAGTAAATATGCAGTATATATTCTCCTTTGTGTTTGCTGTGTTTGAGACATAAGGACTTCAGTAAATCTTCCAGCACTACCCAGGCAGAACAAAACACCTAATCCTGAACAGTTTGTACAGTTGGACTGTTTGTGTAGCCTGTGGTTCAGTCACTGCCACTTAAATCTGGTTGGAACGTTTGATTACAGCCGTCTTTGCAGAATGAGGCAGTCTGTTATTATGGCTGTTTAATGTGCCAGCCTGAGGCTTTACTAAAGCCTCTACACTCATACTACAGCTGGAAGGCAGAGGAACGAGTGGCAGATAAATCAAATGTCAGAAGTGGTCAACACATTTTATACCTGGAGTCACTGAAACATCTCAATCTGAAGGATTAATGGAGGTTCAGTTTTTGACATTCACAGTTCAAAAGTTTTGATCAAGTTCTCTCTAGACATCTTTCTCTCTTTCCATAAACTGCTTGGAAGACAAAACATTTTTAGACTGTTTGATCATCTGTATTTCTTTCATATGAAGGCTCCCTTTAGTTTATTTGTCTTGATTGACTGAACACAACTGATTGCATAAACGCAGCCATGTATGCTAACCCTGTGCATACACAAGTCTATGTATGCAAATGTAGTTTTATAGGCAATCATCTTTGTGCAATCACAATGTTACAGGCTCTAGGGCAAATTTGCATCAGTACCTCAATCATGTGCAATACTCTGGCAGTTTACGTCTAATAGGTGATTTAAGCACTTTGACTCTGAATGTTGCTTAATCCTGGTAATTGATCTTTCATTTACAATTTGATACACTAGACACACTTTATATTTGATAATTTCCCTTCTTGGGATGTCATTTGAGACTTGACCATTTCCTATAGTAGTTTAGTTACTTTGAAACCTGCAACCACCTGACTACTTTTAGGGCCCCTTGGGGCAGCAGAGATGAGCACAAAATGACATGCTGCTTACTCATCCATCTGTTAACAATCAACAAAATTCATTTTACATGTTTTTGACCACCGTATTAATGAAAGACCAGTTATATGTAACATACCATTAAGGACTCTTAAACCATGTGAGAGAGTTAATCTGAAGCCGTCAGTGCACCATAACGAGTGGGAAGGGATTAGTCCTTTCAGTGGTTTTGGTTTGACACAAGTATTGATTTCTGCTGTGTAGAGGCCTGCCAATCAAAATAATATCAGTTTGTTGACATCATGCAGCTGTGTGGGATCATTGGAGTAGTTTTCTTTATCATGAAACAACCATCCCCTGCTGACAAAACTAGTTCCAAGGGAGACTGATTACCATTACCTTATGAGCAAGGGTTTGAAATTTCCATCATTGGACAAACCCAACAAAAGCCATTGTCAGATATTTTTGGTAATTTTACTCAAGTGTGGATTTCAGGTACTTTATCATGACCACTGGGGAACTTGTTTCTAATACAAGGTGGAGCTGCTCATGTCATATCTATAAATTATGCTAAACACCTGGAAATTGATACAAGTCAATGTCCTTGTAAATTAAAAACAAGTCTCTATATTTGTAAACTTACTGTCAGAAACAACGTCTTCTTCAGGAACCTCAATGGCCTCGTCAAACTCTCCGATCTCGATCTGCACTGGGTTGGCCCCAACATCGGCCTCCTGGGGAACATGAGAGGTCCAAGTCAGACTTTAAGCAGCTTAAGCTTGATGACCTACATGCTAAGGAATGTAATGTCATAAGGGGAACAAAGGGATCAGATAGGCTGACTAAAGGAGAAAATTAGAGTCCTTCCTTCAGGTTTCTTGATGTGTTTTTGTGATGCACTCTCACAATACGGTTTAGCAGATGCTTTCCTGCAACATCCTTCAGGATCTATTTCTGCACGATGTCCACTTAAACCAAACCGCCTAAACATCCCTGGTTTTCCTGAAAAAAGTTTAAATGTCACCACTAAAGAAGGTTCCTCCCTAAAGGCCAAACAGAGTCTGGGAGCAGCTAGACCATAATATCCAACAACAACAAGCAGCTGGGTCCACATGTGGTGAAGCCATGAAAGACGTAATGGCTTCCTGACTGGCTGATCGCACGGCTAAAATTAACAGCTGTGGGATCATTGGTCCCGCTGGACCTGTGGAGCACGAAACTATGAAACGTTCACATGAAGGCTCAGTGCATTGGTTTTACACAGCAGTATTTAAGTTTTGTTTATAGTGGTTTACAGAGGACATCGCGTAAATGTGAGCCACTTCTTTGTGTGTCCTAATAAGGCAAACTCTTGGAGCAAGCTGGAAGATTTTGTCTCCAATCCAGTCCGTTTGTTGGAAAGAGTTCAGAAACACCTCAGACGGAACAAATCAATTAGAGTGAGATTTTGATCATTATCCAGATAAACTATTTCTTTGTAACATTTAATTTGTGAGAACCGCTGCTTTCCACACAGTGAAATATTGGTTTGACTTTCCTCACTTGATTACTTTTTTACCACTGACGTTAGTACCTGCTGTATAAAGGCAGGGGTTCTTAGCATCATAAGTGCAATGCCAATTGTCTGGTTTTTGGTTACAATGTTGACCAATGACAGGCCTAGTGGCATTATGCATATTCCATACACCAACATAAGGTTGTGTTTTATTAAGGTATTTAAAGTCATTCTGTAAATGTCTTTTTCCTTGCAAAGTCCTAATTCACTACTGACAGCCCATCTGTGGGATGATTGACCAATGCAATTATTTAATGAACACTCAGGCAACCTGTTACCTTGCTTTAAAGCCAAGCTACTAAAACTGCCATTGGACCCAAAAAAAATTAATTAAATTTAATTTATATAGGAAGAATGACAGTTTACCAAACTATTAAGGCTGTGACCAAAAAAAAAAAAAAAAAAAAAAGTGTTTCTATTTATTAAAAAAGACCCATAATCCAATAAAGGTAGTATCCATTTCCTTCAATTGATTGATAACCGATTTCTGGAAACAGCAGAATCAACTGATTTAATACAAGGGAATAATTTAGTGTAATTTCCACTCCATTTAGTTTTCACTGATGTACTGTGTTAGTCTGATGACATGAGTCACAGATGTTGGCATGAAACATTAACACTAAACTTCTTTGGCTGAGGAAAGGAAACCCCATAGCTCCTTCACAGATTTGAGCATTTCTGCAAGCAGCTGCATAGATCAGGAACCAGCACCAAATCAAACTCGCATGAAAGCAATAAGTATCTGGGTCACATTTCAGTCTTAAGAAATCAGACCAACACTGTTATAAACAAAACAGAGTTTTGCACATTGTAAAGGATGACTCAAGATTGTTTTTGTAAATGTCTTCATCACATCTGTGACACCGTTCACACAATTAGTTACTGCGAGATCTTTGAACCAAGAAAAACCCCTTAAAGTAACGCAGAAGAGCAACACAGGCAGTCGGGCAAGAACAAGTTTATCCAGGTGATTTACTTCATTGGAGGTACATGAAAGTGAGCTGACCTCAAGATATTTAATCCCTTATTGCCCAAGAAAACATGCAGTATTATAATAAACAGATTACAAAAAAAAAAAAAAAGTCAGATTTGGTTACCAGTGGTAAAAGTGTATAGCCCTAGACTGACCTCAACAACTGGCTCCTCAGCCACAAGAGCCTCATCCATGATGGGCTCCTCATCAATGATGGGCTGCTCCTCAGTCTGAGACACACAAAGTTGTTAGACCTTGCATAGAGACACACACTTTATGTGTTCAGAGAGTTAAGGTGGGCAGAATCAGACAATGATGTCACTTACATATGCAGCATCATAACCATAAATTGGACACACACACTTGCATGAAATGCAGCCACGTGCTTATACACAAAAGAAACACATGCTTTAACTCCATGCACAGAGAGCTACAGCACACACTCAAAGGAGCAATCTGCTTTTTGGAAAGCAAACCTTTCATTTTCACATGCTACAACAAAATGAAAACACATTCCTCTAGTAGACACACACACGAACCTCAGTTTGATGGGGGAAGGAAAAAAAAAAAAAACACACATACACCTAAAGGCAAACAGAGAATCTCACTCTTACGTGAATTAAATATCACACAGGAAAAGAGAAAGGGGGAGACAAATAGAGGAACATGCTCATGAAGATAAAAGCAGACCACACATACACAATTACTTACAGGAGCAGCCATGGCATGGCCAGCCAGGCACATTAGGAAGACAATCCACACCCTCATCTTCAAAGTCTGTGAAGACAAAAAGAACAGGTGAGTCAAGTTACCTGAAAGTCATCCAAACATATCGATTATTAAATAATTACACACAAAACATTTTTGCAATGAATATTTCATTTACAGTTCAGATGAAGAAGAGGACACACAGATCAACATCAGGTGACACTCTGACATGAAGTACCACACTAGTCGTTGCTCTCTGTCATAAAATGCAAATGCAACTGTCAAGGTTGTGGGAAAACAAGGAGGTGTGGACCCAAGTGCAGAATAACAAAAACTATAATTTTTAGACAAAAACTTACTCTCAAAATCCAACACGAAAACAAGGAGCCGAGAGGACGCAGACACTCGAAAACTGACAACTAACTTTTGTCATATGATAATGAACTGACACAAAAGGCAAGGAACAGAGACTAAATAGACATGGGTAATCAGACACAGGTGAGACTAACAACACAGGTGAAGACAATGAGGGCAATCAACACTGGAGGGAAACACACAGAGGAAGGACAAGAAACACTGAGGACAACTATGACAAATACATGAAACACTGAAGACACTGTTAAACATCGACACACTAGAACAGAGAGGGACACAAGGATATGAAATTACAAGATAACACAGGAAACACTGAAGACTAAACTATGAAACATTAGGACAAAAACACACAAGGGAAACAAGCAACACTAGGATGAACAGGAGAAATTAAAACATGGAAACCTAAACTCTGAATACAAAACTAAATAAGACCAAATCATGACAGCAACAACAAGAGGAATATGATCCAGAGATAAAATAATGTAATACAAATACCCAAGTGTTTTCCTTTATGTGATTTCATGTTTTTAAAAAGGCTGCAAGGTAACAGATTTTTGTGGCAAAAACGTTTACTTTTTCCATTGGATTGATGGTAAAAAAAAGCTGATGTGGTTTTTAAACATTTTGTTTTGAAAGCAAATCTCCACAAATCCAAACGAATTTCATGATTTCTGAAGTGTAATAATCTCAAATTAGGCTGCAAAATTGATTGACTCTGATGAGAATCTGAAGTGTGAAAAAAGTAACAATTCATGTTTTGGAAATCATTTTTTACAGACTCTCTAATTTGCATTTGCGGGATTAGTCCAAAATGCTGCTTAGATGCGGTACCTTTTATGCAATCTTAACAAATTATACCAGTATAATGAATTTATTGAATGTATCTATCCTTAAAATCAATCGAATTATGATTATTAGATTTTTCAACCTTAAGGGGCCTGAAATGGCTCCTTGAGGAACACCTTGATGCTAAATGAAGCCTCCTTTTTTGTTTGGAGTTTTGAATTTGATTACCATAAATGATTTTCAAATAAAAAATAATCACTGATTATTATATAAACCTTTATGACAAACACAATAAGGATTTCCATCTTTGATTTTACTATAAATGAAAAAAATACAAGTAAACTTTTCACGTTACATTACCTCAATTTATTACTTTCTTGTTTCACTAAGATTATTTCTTTTTATTTTCAATCATATGTGAACTCACTCTGTTCCTAAAAATAGCAGTGTAACTATTTTTTTATAGTAGTGGCAGAGTTTTAAGATATAAAAATATAGTTGGTTTGATGTTTTCCCTTCTTGTCACACAACCCAAGAATCAGAAACAACTTATTTACTTAATTTCACCTATTTACAAAGTGATGACTGATTTTTTTACTTTTTCTCACTATTTTCACTATCTGTTACTCAAGTTCAAATAGATCAATCCACATCAGGATTTAATAAAACACAAGGATATATAATCTGAAACTGAATTAGAGTTTATCTAAACAATAACAACAAACCCTTCTCTCCTGAAGCGCTGCAGTCTTTCTAAAGACAACAAAAGCATCTGGACACAACCCTCTCTCTGCAGACTAATGGAAGCTCTCCAGTTTCCCAAACAAAACCCTCAGTGTCTGCTGTGTTTACTGGCAGGTCGGCCTGAAATTGTCTGTGGCTGTTTGTGGTTTTGTTGAGCAGACTCTCCCAGAACATCATCTCGCCCGCTGAAAAGGACTTTCTCTCGTTCGGGAGTCTAAAACAAAGCAAGCGTAGTCAATGATTGCACTAAATTGGGCTTCAGAAGCACGACTGGAACAGTGTGCGTCGACTTATCTTTCTGCCATTTGGATAAAAACAGGCGAGTAAACAGCTCCTGTCTTGTGTACATTTTCACAGCAACCATTTTCCACGACCTGAGGCAGCATATTTTAACTCCTCATATTTCCACCGGCATCTGTTTGGAAAAAACGACTTTCCATACAGCTCTGCTGAACACATACTTGCATTTGTAAACCAATAAGCGATTATGTAAGACATTGATGTGTGATTTTGGACCATTGAATTGAAAAAGAAAAAGATCTGAGCATCCATTGTTGGAAACTACAAACCCTCTCTCCATTACTGCTCCCCTTCCTTCATCATGTCTCATCTGAAGGCCTGAATAAGGGCTTCTTTGTTGAGTAATTGAGCATGACGTTGCTTCGTCTTTCTCCCTCTTCCTCCATTTATTATCTCCCTCTATACAAGTCCGCTGCTACACCCAGACATCCAGAAACAATCTTATCTTCCTCACATCAAAGCATATTTGGCACATAAGGGTAAGTGTCTGGGTAGGCCGACTGTGAAGATCAACTCTTATTTTATCAACCTGTATCCGTGATATTGTTTTTGTATTTGTTGGCTTGATATCAAAAAGGACTAGACGACAGACTGTATCTCTTGTTCCTGTTTGAGTTGAAACTTCAGGGGCATTCCTCTAGTCTGAAGTGAGCTGGCACAGTTTGCACAATAAACCAAACACTGCAGGAGATCAGCGGGGGATAATAAGATTTACAAAATAGAGCTCAGAATAGCTAGGATTCCTGCATTGACCACAGGCTAAAACTAACAATAAATACAGAAAATTCAACTTGCATATCCTCTGGGAAGATCACATTTTCCAAACACTTGTTCCTTGAACATGTGCTGCAATTATCTACTGAAACACAGAGGAATTAGAAGGGAATGCCCCAGCTCTCAAATACATCTTCTTCAGGGTAAATGATCTTGACATTTTAGGCAGTGGAGGAACTCCTCGCTTCACTGCATGTCTTTAAAAAAAAACGTAGGAAGGCCTCTTGACACTGAATAGGGCGACATGTTTGGGCAGAGGCAATGAATTTTGCATACACTCAATCAGAGTTTGGGGGTGTTGATGTGTGTTTTTTTGACAAACCCCCAAGCCACTCAAGAGACTTCTGACATCTGGACAATAGAGGTATATTGATGGATTGCCTGCAGGAACATTTTTCTTCTGTTGTCACTCTACTAATAGTCAAGATGCATGTTCAGAATTGTCTGCTGTGTTTAAAATGTGGTTTATTCTGTTGTACAAGATGTTGCATTCTTTCCTCTGAGCATGTTTTTACAAGCTCCATCATCAGATACAAATCACAAAAAGAACATGACTGAGAGCTATGTCCTCCCATATTGGCCTACCACACCAACATGGCATTTGAAGATTTTCCCAATTTACATTGTAATGAATCCATCTTACATTTACTCTCACTTTTGAAAGGAGACTTTTAATAGCAAATTTGTTTCTTGAACCAGGCTGTTAACATGTTCATTATTGCTGTAAAAATGACATATTAATATGGGATCTAATGGGGGATTCCCCTGGTTTTTGCAGGCAGCCTCAAGTGGACACTTGAGGAACTGCAGAATTTTGCACGACCACATTGGCTTCATTTTTAAACATCTGAGGTATGCTCAGGCTAAGATATTATACTACATAATCTTAATGCATTTGTATTGAATTCATTAAACTGCATTGCAGTGTTGCGTCTGGATTTTTTTCTTCTGTCCTTCCAGGACAATTAATCTCATCATAGATCTACATAGCCAAAAGTGACTGAAAAGAAAAAGTGTCCCATATTTGCAGAAAGGTTCTTTTCCTTTTACAGTCATGGCAGGACTTTTTACAATGCTGTCCACTGTTCCTGAAGGTCTAGTGATGAGAGGACTTTAGCTGGCTAGGACGTGGAAAAATACAGCAACCCTGGCAGAGGATGCAGACGGTGACGTCTCCAAATAACCTGCACACAAGGACACTTCTGAAAAGCGAAGCTAAAAAAAAAGCCAAGGTGCTCTGCTTACGGGAAGTTTCGTAATGACACACACTTATAAAAAGCGTGTCTGACCGGCCGTGAGAGTTTAATGTGAGTGCAAAGAGGGGGAAATAAAAACTCGTCTCATCTCCAAAACATGTGGGGTAAGTATTTGATTTGGATGGACGTGGTGTTCCCATCGTATGTCCTCTTTAACATATTCCTGTTTGGTCAGAGAGAGCCGTCGGGCTCTGCTCTGCAGGAAGGAGGAGGCTGCCGGACGGATGGACTGACGTAACAGCAAAACAAATTATTTTATTTGGAAAGCTGCTCTCATAATCAAACAGGGGCCAAAGCTAAAAGAGAAACTTCATGCTCATAAAGGGTCCCTTTTTCTACTCAAATGTGTTTAATTTGGGAGGTTATTTAGGTAAGCAAGTGTAAACTCGCACTGGAGGAAAACAACCTGTACTGAAGCTGCAATGCAATAATTTAACTTTGTCTCTGACATATATGTCTTTTTTCTGCTGTCCATCTCTTCTTCAGATTCTCTTTAAAGGAAGCAGATTTAGAGGAATTCTTTCTTCTTCTCCCCGGTTACATCAGGCAGGTTTGTAGGCCATGAAAAACAACCTGTAGCCGACTGTCTGCCAGCAAACAGCACAGACAAACAACTCTGGCATGCAAAGGACTGTGAAGAAGCAAATATTTGGTGCAGACGCTGAGAAGCGACAGTGATTTCCTCTGTGTATATTGACTTCTGCAGATGGGGGACTATTTTCATACGGATCAAATTGTAGTTAATGAAATACCTTTGAAATCTCAGGTTTATGAGATGCTGCATACTGTGTGAAAGAGAGCAGTGTTACCAATATTAAGGACAAGGATGTAAAATTGGTTTATTTGACTTGCAGTTTGCATCTAATCATTTCCTGTTGATACAAATCTACATTTACTTTTTTTATGAAAAACAAAGAAAGGCTGGCCACACGAGAAAGACAAGGAAGGGTAGTCTTCTCAGCTGGCTTCCACCATTTGGTCCTAATTAGTTTTTTTGGGACCAAACTGTGGAGCAAAAGGTCAAACAGGTGTTACAAAGCCTGTCAAGAGATCTGAGTCTGGCAGTAAAGCCGGTCTAAGCCCTTTGTGAGAAAGTTTCACCGTTGTAATGTGGCTTCATTTCAATGAATGATTGATGAAGGGTACCCTGTTTTCAACATCTTGACTACAGAGGCTAAATTGTAGTAAACATGGATGCTAAAAGGAAACCTAGAATCAAAAACAGAGG